AAAGATGTATCCGTAGCTCACCTCATAACGTAGGTAGCTCACTCTCATCACACTCTCACTTCACCCACCACCAGAAGCAGACGGGGAACATGCACGTGAAGCAGCAAAGCTCCTCAGATGGACCAGCGGTGGATCCACATCGTCGATGCTGGACGGTGCCAATCTCCCGGGGGGGAATACTGTCGAAAAAGGGACAGTATATCCTGGAATAGGTCCGTCACAGTGCCGCAGCGAAGCCCTGCCATATACATGGCCGAGGCCGCGGTTAAGCAGTCATCGCCGAGATTGGCCCAACGCCTCCCAAACATGCCCGATACTCATTGGGCAATGCCTCTTGTTCCATTGACGCTCCGGGTATGACTTGCGCTGCCAGCCGTCCGAAACAAACGTTATCGACGCCTGGCCGCCTACCCAGCGGCCTGAACTACTATGGAGGACGGTAAGACGGATGAGGGAATGATGAGCCAGCCGCCAGACGAAGAAAACAAACATTCTGTCGTCCGCCGACCAACCCCAAGAACAACGGGGCACATCCCTGTAGATATCCTTTCCGAGGCGTCAGTGACAACGCAACCTGCCAACTACCCGAGACCAACGACGTCGTCTCGGCACATTACTCTTCAGCAAAAGCGGAATGCCTAGAGCCTCTTCATAACCCCATCAATTCGAATGAGAAAGGCTGGAAGATGGAGATTCGAGGACTGGGTAACCAGGCAGTTGACAGCCCTATCTGACACTACCAAGGTTTGTGTGCCTTCCCATCTCTAGGCAAAATGAGGATGCAAAGGATTGGCGAGCTGGTCGTGTGGAGCATAAGGAGTCTCTAAGGATGAACCGTTCCCTGAAAGATTCGACTAGTAAGCTCTGCCTTGTCGGTGCTCTTCACCGAGCTAAGGCACATAGTTATGGATCTAGACCTGAGCCGTAATTCTGTCTTTCCGGAAAGTCGGCTCAGAGTACAGACACAGACCGTGTCACAGTCCCGAAGGGTTGGACAATTTTATTTGCCAGTGCAGCAATGCCGGAATCTAGACGGACTCGTGGTTCCTCTCATATGTCATGATGTCGCCTTACTGATCCATGATTAGCCCTACAACTAGGTGAGCAACAAAAAAATCATGTCAACGAGAATTTTCGGCGATATGAGCATTGTTCACAATTGCCGGCTAACCCCGCATCTGACGTTGTCGTTAGCTGAAGTCTGAAGACAGGTAATGCCATCAAGTTTGCTGTGACTGCACAGAGACTTTCTTTTGTCTTCTCGGTCTCGCAACTACTGGTACTACAAATGCGTAACCAGATAGCAACTCGAGGCGTTCGGCAGGGCCAGAACATCAGTGACGATCTCTAATCTTATCGGAAGCTACCGGCAATCTAAGTAGCACGTGGTTTGAATTGGCCGCAACAGCTATTAGACGACCTTCGTCCCGAGGTAGACTGAGAGAGCAAGCACACGACCGATACATTGCGCGTGTTCTGCATCAAATCCGTGACGCTCACTATCTGAAGATGGCGTTTAGATGCGACCTGTCTCTGTGGCATCGAAAATGACAACGCTTCTGTCGTGTCCTTCAACAAGTTCGCGGCTTACGCAACCCATCAAAACATCAATCTATCACGAAGGGTAGCTCCCTATCAATACGCGTCGGGCTTAAGACACCTTGATCACCCGACCACATAATGGAGACCACTTGGCGACGAGGTGCCAAAGAATGGCAGAGTGGCGTCGTGAGGGTGATATCGAGACAAGAACCGACATAAGGAGGGCGGCCGATCTGCGATAGAGCATGCTTCGCAATATTTCAAGATAGCCAGAGCCAGTGACGAGGTGTCGCGTGGCTCACCGCTTGCTACGTTCTTATCTCGTACCCGAGTCGCATGATATACCATAACGGTACGCAGAAATCCGATTTTCGGACTGAGCTGCATCAGCCGGCCCGGCCATTATATGTCTACACTAGTGACGCCAAAGGCGCTACGTTGACCAAACGGGGCCAGGGCGCGGAATAGTCGCGAACATGGTAAGGGTCGTAGTGCCAGATTACCATGACGGATATGGATGCAGATCTGCCAAACAGTTGTGACCCTGCCAAGGCTGCGGAATCGACCGGCCGGAAGGACATGTGCCTTTAAAACAAAGCACGGCGATGTCAGCTTCGGCCAAGCTTCAGACGAAAAGTACTGATTCTACTGACGGGTCAGAATCCGGACCGATCATGGGGTACAATTTGCAGCGCTCGCATCTCAAGCAGGCTCTCTTGAATTCCGAGAAGGAGCTATGGCGAGGACCTCTAGAAAGAAGGTGTGTAAAGACGAATCCTATCAATCCATGTCTCTCGTAAACGTGGAGGCGGGAGTGGTAGCCCCGCCAAAAAGTTCGAATTCGGGTTCTTTTTCTAAGAGGAGAATGTTCTCCGTCCAGGGTTGTTCGGATGCGGCCATGTCAAAGAAGATTGACGCGGTGGTTCGGCCGCCAACATGGCCTCCAACAACTGACAGGACTCCGGTTGAATGCCGTCTCCGGGAGGCTGGGACGCAACGGCATGTTCCTTGGCCGGAAACGACCAGAAACAAAACGTCTCCCGCCAGTTTTGAGGGTAGGTCACCTTGCACTGTCCGTACTTTGTAGCGAGTCAGTTCGTTACCGCCAGTTTCGAGTGCTACTGTTTTTCCCGAGTCGGCCAACCGGCAATTTGTTCCCCAAAACGACGACTTCAGATGGAGAAGAGACAAAAGTATCCGCAACGCAAGTGGCCCCAGTATGGATGCTCTGACAGGCTCCAAAGACGGCGCTGCGGCCGTGCAGGCATTGAGCGGAAAGGCGCCCCGGCGACGGCGATGGCGGTTGGAGAGGTGGGAGCCCAGTTCCTCCAATAAGCGGTAATAGAATCGGCGGTTCCGGGCTGCAAGTTGGCTCACCACACCAAGTGCATTCGAGAGTTCAAGGGTCCAGCCAACACACTACACTAGCGAGCTGAGGACTGTTGGGTACCGCACAGGATTCGTCCTGCAGATCTGGTGTTCAGGTCCCTGCTTACTTACAGACGCCGCAGAAGCGGAGGACCCTGCGATGTAGTGCTGAGTGCAGCAGGACGTGGCGTGTCTTCTTCGAGGTTGAGTACGGTCGCCGGGCCATGTTGCACGCTCCATGACCTGGCGGTGTTGATGAGGCAGGTTGCTTTGGTCGATTTGTCTCGTTGGACTGCACGTCAGTTGACTGACTAAATGGCGGGATGAGGAATAGTGATGGTGCCACGAAAGGAAGATGGTGACTTGGACAAGTGCTCTTGTCATGCTCTCGCTCCCGTCTCTTGGGGGTCTTGAGTCTTGGTAGAGGGGGGACAAGCGCGGTGTCAGTCAGCAGCGGTCTGAATGGCTGTACGAAGTGGAGTCAGGATCATCTGTGATCCATTTTTCTTCACCAGCAGCCGGAACGATTGGAACGAGAAGGAGAGGGCTTTCCTCTCTGCACTCCGGGCGGACCCCTCCCCTACCCCCTTCGTCCTCCCCCCACCTGCCCGCTCTTTGCGCCGGGCCACGGGCCCCGCACGATTTACCATGTGGGTACGGATATAGCAGATGTATCTTTCTTGCGTTTCGGCCGCCACTGTCGACTTTCCATGTCTTGCCTCTTCGCCTCCGCGGGTCTGGCCATCACTGTGCCTCTTGAGTCTTGCCTCGACCCCTAGTGGCTTCTTCTTCCAGACTCTTCCCGCCGCCGAGACTTCCCTCAGCTATACAGAGTTGTTGAATCTGGCTAGAAAGGCAGGCGAGAAGACCCCGGGCAGCTAGCCTCGTCCGTTTCGGCGGTACTTTGTTTCTCGTGTCTTGGGCAGAAGCAGCCGAGATCCCGAGCAGTCTTTACGGTTTCCTGCCTCGCTGCAGAGAGAGCATGGCCAGTGGCCATATTCAGACCCATGGCCCAAGGTGCATCCCAAGGGCATGGAGGCACTGGCGACGGTCAGACTGACCCGTTGGTGTGAGTGATGGGCGTTGTGTATGGCGAACCGGGACCCATCGGTGCCCATCGATAAGGAGGGTCCTTGTTTCGCCGACACAAAGGGGATGGATGGCGAGATGAGATGGAATGGGATGGCGATTGGGGGGGTGTGAGGGCCGTTTTGTGCATCCGTCCAGCGCGCGTTTTAAGCTTCTACTTACTACCCTTACCCGGCCTTGGGTGCGGTGCGATGTATTCGTATTGCATTGTTGGGCGTGTGAGTGGTGGTTTTGTTTCCGCGCGACTCGACAACTTGTTTTTCTTTTATCCCCATCCTCCGACCTCTCCTCCTCCACTGCCACCCTTTCACCCTCATCTCTCCTCGTCGCAGCCTTGTTCGTGTCCCAGACACATCCTGCTCGTGTGACCTAACACACGGGAATCAGAGGCCATGATATCTTGAGTCTTCGGTGTGCCATGTGCTCAACCCCAACTCGTAAGGTCCCCTTCTTCCAGCCTTCTGAGGCTCCACACCCCGCTACCTGCACCGGCTGACCTCCGTTATCGATAGCCGGCTCCCAACCGTCGTTCTGATACCACCAAGTCCCTGGACCCTGGTCACCCCTCCATTCTACACCCCTCTCTAAGGTAGTAAGAGAACGGAAAGCCTTCAAGACCACAACTTCTCCCCGATTACTCTCCCGATTACTCGCGCTTTATGTCTTATCCGTCTTCCTAGAGACTTGAATTTTCTCCTCATCTATCACGCTCGATACTTGCGCTTCCATCCGCGACGCCGACTATGAAATAGGACCATCCGCCGACCGTTCCGAGCCTTTTGCCCTCATCGGGTCTTAGTGGTGGACCATCAAGCTCAGCTTCACTGCCCCGCGCTACCTACCCTTACCAAGAAAGACAGTACTAGAGCCTGAGAGACTGCGCAATTTTGAGCAAACGATCGTAGTCGCTGTCTGACTCAGGCCAAAGCTTCTACCTTTTGCGCATTTCCAAAGGCGTTGTATTCCTTCAACTCGCCATCACGCACAGTCAAGTCTCAACCATGGCCGACACTGAAATCCCCACCGGGCCGACTCCTATGGAAGTGGTTGACGAGCAAGGCTCAGGCCTCTCAAATCCCTCTGGTAAAGCGAAAGGTCGACATCGCGTGCTCTGTGGTGTCCAACGAATGTCTTCCTCGCCTGCTCTGGCGAGGAGTAGCCGTACTAGATCACACAGCAATCCTCAACGCATGCGTGGTAACGTTTCCTGCGTGAGCTTGGCAGGGCCTTCAACCGCGGGAACCTCCTTCACTGGCGACTCTTATTTTCCCTCAGGCGCAACAGCATCTGGCTATGCCAGTGCCTCCAGTTCCGTTCCAGGAACACCATCCAGCGAAATTATCCAATTCGTGGGCATTGACGGCCGACTGGCTATTCGCCGAGTCGACAATGTCTTTCCCACTACGCAGTCCCCAGGCGCACAAACCATAGGCCTCCCATCCGATCTGAGGACGACTAGCAAAGCTCAGGTTGCCAACCCCGCGGTCCCCAAACGCGGCTTCAACTTCTGGGAGAATATGCCACACGAAATGCGCGTGCACATTTTCTCCTACCTGTCACCCAAACAGCTTGTACGAGCTTCGCGCGTCAGCAAAGCTTTCCACAAGATCTGCTTCGATGGGCAACTGTGGACATCTTTTGACGCCACGGAATTTTACCAAATCATCCCGGCTGAATCACTCGCAAGAATTATCGTCGCCGCTGGACCGTTCATCAAGGACCTCAACCTAAGGGGCTGTGTTCAGGTCGAACACTACAAGAGGGCCGAGGTAGTTGTCAAGGCTTGCAAGAACTTGGTCAACGCGACGCTCGAAGGATGCCGCAACTTTCAGCGAAACACGCTACACAGCTTGTTGAGAACGAACGATAAGCTCGCCCACCTCAACTTGACTGGTTTGACAGCGGTAACCAACATGTCCTGCAAAATCATTGCCGAGTCATGTCCGCAGCTGGAGATGTTCAACGTGTCGTGGTGCGTGCATATGGACGCAAGAGGTATCAAGGCAGTGATCGAAGGCTGCCCGAGGCTGAAGGATCTGAGGGCAGGAGAGGTCAGGGGATTCGACAACATAGAAGTCGCCGAGACGTTGTACAAGACGAACAGGCTGGAAAGGGTAGTCCTCAATGGCTGTGCCGAGCTGAACGATCGCGCGCTCAAGATCATGGTCCACGGAGAAGACCCCGAAATCGACATCCTCACCGACCGACCGATCGTTCCTCCGAGGAAATGGCGTCATCTCGACCTCAGCCGTTGCTCCCGTCTTACTTCGCAAGGTGTGAAGGCTCTGGGATACAACGTCCCGGATCTCCAGGGCCTGCGCCTGTCCGGCTGCACCGCACTCACTGATGCCGCGCTGGAGCCCATCTTTGCCTCGACTCCGCGTCTCACGCACCTCGAACTCGAAGACCTCTCGGACCTGACCAACACCCTCTTCTCAGAACACTTGGCCAAGGCCCCGTGTGCGCCTTGGCTGGAGCACCTCTCCATCAGCTACTGCGAGAACCTCGGCGACAGCGGCGTGCTCCCGCTCGTCAAGAACTGCGTCAACCTCAGGGCCATCGACCTCGACAACACCCGCATCAGCGACCTCGTCCTCGCCGAGGCCGCCTACATGGTGAGCAACCGCTCCCAGAGCAATGCCGTGAAGCCGAAGCCCAAGGTCGGCCTGCATATGGTCGTGTACGACTGCCAAAACGTCACCTGGACCGGCATCCGCGAGGTCCTCTTCCGCAACGCGCAGTCGAAGCCGTCCATGTCGGAGATTGGCAAGTTCGCCTACGCGTCCGAGGCCATTGGGCTCAAGTGCTTTTACAAGTTCCAAATGACCGTGGACGAGCACATGAAGCGCGTGCTCCGCGGGGACCTCGCCGCCGCCAACCGCCTCGAGCACCGGTGGGCCGAATACATGCAAGCGAATGAGGAAGCGGGGACCACCGGCGCCGGTCATCGCCGGCGCAGGCGGCGGGCGAGGGAGGCACAGATGTTGCATGCTGATGAAGAAGAGGGCGGCAACGGCGGTCGGAGGCGGGGCCGAACCGTCGGGGCGTGCACGATCATGTAGAGTCGCGATCGAGGGAGCGAGGCCTTTCGGGGTCTCGTAGTTTGGGAGAGGGCTTTGTTCCAGCCACATTCTTTCAAACACATCTCGGGTTATATTAGTATATACTTGTCGGCGTTTTTCAGGGGCCAACACACACACACACACACACACACACACACACACACAGACGACACACTCTTGCGTGGTTAGATATGGGATGCATCATCTTCAAGCCGTGGAACGGATTTGATATCGGCGTCTCGCATCAAGAAGGCGCTTTTCTGCAGCACATTCTGTACTTTTCTTGATACTGCTGGCGTATGGGATTTCAGCTCCAGAGGTATTGGCCTATTGAAGGGGTCTCTGGGCGGACTCGAGGATTTTCCCTATGTACTTACGTGAAGGAGAGACACTTTCTCCTATGTCCATTCCAAGGTTGGATAAATAGGCTATTTCAATTACACACATCACAAAGCCCTCACCAAGCCCGAATAGCTCTGTAATACTTGTGCTATGTGGAAAGTATTTATTTTCGCGGGGATGTTGTCCTATTGATAGGTATGCTTCCCACTCCCCACAGAGGACCACTCTGTCACGAAACAGCATCAACGGTTTACATGTCGCCGTGCTGGCGAATGTACCGCCGAATCTTATCTTGAAAGACGTCGTCCTCGTCCCGCCGCTCGTCGCCCTCCATGACGTACATGTCATCATCCTCGTCCTCATACGGGTCGCGGGTGTCAAACTCCTCCTCGTCCGAAGCGTTGGCGTTGCGGAACAAGTAGGCGTGGCGATCGTACTCGTCCTCGGAATCGACCTCGTCTTCTGGGTAATCCGCCGTGTAGTGGTTCTCGGCTGCGCGCGCGCGTGTCGTGTCAGCAAACATGCAAGTAGTGAGTATCCAAGACCTCCCCTCCCCGGCACCTGAAAGGCACTTCTTGGAAAGTGGACCCCTTACCATTCTCGTCCTCGTCGTCATCGAGATCCGAGTCGTCATCCTCGTTGCCGTAGAACAGCTCCAAGTCCTCCTGCGAGTCGAACCTGAGCACGCCAATCTCCTCGGGCGGAATCTCCGCCAACACCGGCTTCGAAGGCGCAAGCTCGTACACCTCAATAACGTAGTCGTCGTCGCTCTCGTCGTCCTCATCGTCCTCTCCGCCGCTCGCCTCGGTCATGGCCTCGTCGCTGCCGTCGAGCTTCTTGGCCAAGTCCGGGTGCCGCTCGGCAAATCGCTTGACCGGCGCCTTGGGCTTGAAGCGGGAAGGCGACGCAACTGCAGACGGGGAGCGCGGCGCCTGCTGCTGCTGCTGCTGCTGCTGCTGCTGCTCCATGGCCTTGAGGTTCAGTCCGATCTCGTGGAGAACCCACTGGTCCATGTCGGCCGCGATCTTGCTCATGTCCTGTGTGGGAGCTACGCCGGGCATGGGTTTGCGCTGCGGCTCGATGTCGGGTATCTTCGTCGTCGTCGCCGTCGTCGTCGCCGCGGAGGCTGCTCGCGGGGGAGGAGGGCGTTTGGCGAGGGGTTTCTTCGGTGCCGGCTTGTTGTCTTCCTTCATCTCGACGTCGGTGGGCAGCGCCTCGGCGGTCGTCGTTGCCGACGTGGTGCCGGACGACGCTGTGACGGCCCGGCGTGTGCTCTTCTTCTTCCCCCGCTCCACGAAGACGGCGGTCCCGTAGCGCCCTCTCTTGGAAACGCCGCCGGCCTTGAGTATGGTACTGCCTCCGGGTGAGCTCATGGCCGACCTGGACATGTGGAATCGTCTCGGCTCGGTGGCGGGGTTCTGAGGGCGTTGCGATCCTGTGGCGGTTTGCGGTAGGGGCTTCTGCGCGTCTGGCTGGGTCTGCGGTTGCGGCGGCGGCGGCGCCGTTGCCTTTCCTGTCGGATGAGCATGGCTCAGATGAGGGGGTCGTTTAGGGCTCGAGATCTCGTCGCCAGGCTTCGATGTTTGAATGACTGGTATCGAGTGTTGTGAGGGGTGCTGAGCAGCAGCGGCGGCGGCGGCGGCGGATCTGGCGCTGGCTTTGGCCAGACGTCTCTGATAGACCCAGCTACTACCGGCTAGATGTCGTTTGGATCCCGGTTCGAGTTCTGTCCTCCGTTAGTCCGTCCGCCGCCTGATCGTAGAGGAGGAAGAGCGGCCTTACGAAGGTAGGTGACCGGAGCATCTTCGTCGCCCCGCTTCCGCTTGATGTGGATCAGTTGAGGAGGGGCAGACATGGTCGGCGAGAGAAAAACAGAAAGTGCTAAACAGCAACCGCGGGGAAGGGGAATGAGGGCGTTATTGCGATTGTGAATTAATGACAGTAGGTTCCAAGGGAGGTGTTAAGCTCGCAAATATTGCGTCGACAGTTCCTGATTCGACCTGGGTCTGTTGCGATTTCGCAATTCGTGCGGTTATGCTTGACAATAGTTTTTTTCTTCTTTTTTGACAGGTGGATTTTTCTTGAAGCAGCCGCTAATAACAAGGCGTACGACAACCACCCACATGTCGAGAGCACTGACGAAATGCAGAGCTGCGATAAGCCTTCCTTATCGAGAAATCACGTCATTGGCCAAACATCTCACCGCTTTCGGCAGAAAACACATTATGAGTGGGGACCCTAGGTAGCTTGCCCATATTGTGGCTCGCGATGCTGGCGTGGGTTGCGTGGCTGGTTGAGAGACGGGGATAGAAGAGAAGCCCCGCCGTATCCGATCAAGTTTGATCTTCCCACCTTCTGGGGGTAGCACGGGACGTCAATGCTCTGGATGCTGGATGGGATCACAGCCAATTGAACGCATGAATCGATCCGGAGACGCCTCTCGACCGCCTTGTCACGACCTATGTGCTAGGTTTGAGTGTCTGGTAATTTTTGAATGGTACTCGTAGACTTTGAGAGAGCGACGAGCTCTGATCCGAGTGAGCGCCTCGCCGAGTTTGGTGACATTCGAAACTACCCTAACATTTGCACTACCTTGCGGGCTTGCTTGCTTGGCTGAAAAATACTGGCTCGGGTCTTTTCATACGACTATGTCTCACATCTTTGTAGGGATCTTAGGGCAGTGCGGTGTTTGGTTGAAAGACACGCTTTCCGTCGATGTTCAGGTTCATGATTAGAATAGCCCTTTGGCAGTGGTAGATATTTGTGTGACTGGGGCTGATAAACAAACATCTGAGAAGGAATTGCCGCTGGTTGTCAGAGGAATACACATTCCACGAAGCTTGTTTGGCATGATGGAGTTTGCTGTAAGCTCGATGTCTATAGTAGCTGTCCCGGTCTGGGCCAGGCTTTCCAGTTCCAAGTTTATCCACCGGGGCCCACGATCAGCTTAGCCCGGCGGCTGTGGAGCAGTATGGCTTGTGCGGAGAAAGTCTCCGATACTTGGGAAAATGTAGCGTTCGCAGCCAATGAGCATGTCCCAGCGACTCCCCTGGCCTCGGGATGCATCAGGGATGATGACGCACGAAGCTTGCCGACGCTGAGATGGAGTCGGTTGGCCATTGACTGCGGTGCTGATAACCGCTACTGATACTGGGGCAATGATTTGCGGGAGCTCTCGCGCATTGAGCGTTGTGCCGGGAGCTATCCGCCAACAAAACTTGAATCAAACGACGGGAGGCAGGGAGAGGGTGAGTGAGAGTACCTACCTGGGTGGCCCATTCTCGTGTGTCGTCTAAAACAGCAATTCAGCTCAATTGCTGAGAAACAAGGTCTCTCTGGAGGGAGCCATGGTAAACAGGTGCCTGCCTTTCCCAGTCACTCTTACAGACCATCCTGTCGAATTTCCTTCCTATCCGTTGAAGCAAAATCAACTCGGGTTAATAAGGAAGGTAAGTAGCTGAACGTGAGCAAGCGCCCGGCAAATAGCTGCCTCCATGACCTCGTCCCTCCCAACCACTTCCCAGTCTTCTTCCTCTCCGGCACCACATATAGGTACGGAATAATCATGCAATGAACCCCTTCTGTGCCGCAGCTTCCCTGTTCTGAGCTGCTGCACCTCCCACACCCAGAACAAGGTGTCGGCTTCTTGATCTCTCTGCTATCTAAGCTCCCCCTCACTCGCCCGGTCAGTTCAGCTTGAAGCAACGGCGCGGTTCTCCTCTGGTTTCCATACGACCTTGCTGCGGTAAGTTCCTGCCCCTCTTCTATTCGTACTCTGCCACCCCCGAACAGCTCGTTCCCTCAAAGCCGTTTCACTCGCACAACAAACGCAATCCCCGATTTTTCCTTGTTGGTGTCGTTGCGTGAAACACTCACCCGGGGACTCCACTCCAAATTCCTCTCCTAGACTTGTCTTACTTCCTCTTGGGTTCTTCCATTTCTTTTTCTCGCCAAAGTCAATCCCATCGCTTGCTTGCTTGCTTTCCCCGACTAGCGCCGCATTCTAAGGTATCGCCCAGAGACAGCCGCATTCGTCAGCGTTATTGCCCATCTCAATCCGCCACCACCGCTGTGGGTTCCAAGGGAACGGCTTCCTTTTCTGTCACTTTCGTCGGGTTTTCCTTCCCAAAAGGTTTCCCTTGCCGGTGCTGACTTGAGCTGTGATAGAAGGGCGGTTGACGAAAGACATTCACCAACCCAAACGTTTTTCTTCGCATTGTTGACTTGGCCGAGAGACGACGAGAGCTGAGCTTGACAACTTCAACGTACTTCGCCGCGGAGACCATCGTCGACAATGGTTTCCGTAACGATCACCTACAGGCAGCCCGGCACGCAGCCTCCCATCTTCGTCGCCGGCTCCTTCTCGAATCCGAAATGGGAACCCCAGGAAATGGACTTCACCACCGGAGATGGTGGAGAACACACCTTTTACAAAAACATTGAGGTGCGACCAAGCTCGCAGATCCAGTACAAGTTCCGTGTTGGTCAAGGCGACTGGTGGGTTCTTAATGAGGATGCCGCTGTAGGTATGTGTTCCTCAAGCTGCCCACTACTTCATTGCGGAGTGACTTGTCTAACATGATGGTGTGATTGCAGTGACCGACGAGTCTGGCAATCGGAACAACTATCTCGAAGCACCTGCGTCTCAAGAGCCGAAGCAGCTCAACGGTGTGAACGGTGACAGTCAAAAGGCAAGCGAAGACGCTGAAACTTTGGAAGACATGGACGCCTCGAAAGCTGCTAGAGACTACACCGCTACCCAGCTCGAGCCGAAGACAAACATCCAAGGTCATCTCAAGGACGAGGAGCGGCAAAGACTCTCATCGACCCCAATTGGGCAAGTTGCGGACACCGCGGCAGAGGTCGCCGATACCGCCGAGAAGCTTGACGCCGAGGTTGACACGACTCGGCTTGCACCGCTCCCCAAGGGCGTAGAGCATCTCAAAGATGAGGAGAGGAAGCGTCTATCTTCGACGCCAATTGAACAAGTTGCGAGCACTGCCGCTGAGGTTGCTGACACTGCCCAGAAGCTGGACGCTGATGAGGTACGAACGAAAGAAGTGTTAGACTAGTAGCCGTCTAGTTCCGACTAATAGAGTGTTAGGACCTCGAAGGAGAGGATGCGGACGATGGTCCCCCACCTCTGTTCGCTCACGAAGCTCTCGGACCCTATGAGCCTTCAGCCGATGATGAAGACGGAAACCTGAAGGACTACGATCACCATGGCAATGTGGAGTACGATGTCGACAAATACGATCTCAATGATCCCACCTTGGAGCGGTGGCCCTCAAACCGTGATGGGATCATTGACGCTGTGCGCAAGGTCGAAACTGGACGTAACGAAGATCAGACTACTTTCCATGGCGCACCCATTTCACCGGTGATTGGATCACGCCGAGCCAGTGTTGACCAATATTATGAGGAAGCTGTCCTTTCGTCAGAGCCCTCTAGTCCAGGTTCTACCAAGAGGCTTGAGCTACCTAGAAAGTCTCACGGCTCCATGGTCTCGGACAGATCTCTCCTTTCTCTAGGATCAATTGCCGAAGAGGATAAGGAGACTCCAACTGCGGATGAAGCCAATCGCGAGAATGAGGGTTTGATTAGGGTCCCGAGCCCCGCCGTACGGCCGACGCCGAATATCTTTACATCGCCTGGGAGTGACGATGACGAGGGAGTCGTTATGAAGGGCTCCAAGTCCAGGAAAAGCTCAGAGTCTGCAAGCTCGGATTCCCCCGCTGCCAACGGACAGTCCAACGGCAAGCACTCGAGGGATCTGTCACCAAAGTCTCGCCCCGCAGAGCCTGACAGCCCCAGCATCCGCGTTGAGCCGCCTCAAGATAGAGCAGGCTTCAGCGCCAGTCAGGATAGTGAATCGGCAAGGGCTTCTGCTTCGAGCACTAACGGCGAGGTGTCAACGACCGGTCGCGATGACGGTCACAAGGGCCAGCTCAAGAAGCGCGGGGTCGGATCGACCGAGCGTCCTGGAACCCCTTCCTCGATACACAGCGTCACAGACAGCAAAGGAGGCTGGCTCCAGGCCTTCTTCCGCGTACTTTTCGTAGACTGGATCGGTGGACTGTTTAGTCGCTTATTCGGCAGCAAGAGAAAGGCGTAAGGTTTTCTCTCTCCTCCGGTTCGCATAGCACAGCAGATGGGCTGCTCGTGTTGTCTTTTTTTTTTTACTTTCTTTTGTTTGTCATTATTCCTTACGAAATCTGACAGGTTGACTTTTGTCTGCAGGATGCTGGCCACGAGCACGGCTGCCATCGTTGTAGGAGTTGCATGGTGGAAGTTCGTCATAGGCGGCGACTTGAGCTGGCCTGAAGCATTGATTTGATGGGCGACACCGAGATGGGAGGGTGTGTACCGGCCGAAATTGCAAAGAAACGGAGGTTGCACTCGGAACAAAACAACTTGAAATGTACAGTTAATGGATGTGGAATGACATCGTTATGGAGGACGATGAACCGATTATCAACAGCGGAAAACAGCGGAAGTTATGATGGACAGTAGGGGAAAGCAGAGTTCGTGTCGAAAGATCATCAAGCCCCCCCCAAAAAAAACATTGACATTGATGAACTTGACGCTGAGACCCTCGAGAAAGATACTTCTTCTCCATTAATATGTGATTGCTTGCTTGCCTGCGAGCCTAAGTATGTAATGCGTGTTTATACAGGAGTAGTAGTTCAACAACGCCTTGCTACTCCTTAAATCAATCTCCAAATGGCGCCGGCTCTCAGGGTATCTCTGCCGCGACCGTCGTCCCCCTCCCTATTCATCCTCTTGATCCACTCGTTCTCCCTCTGGACCGCCGCCGCCTCAATGTTTTGCATGACGGCCAGCTCGTCGAGCATGTCCTTGACGAGGCTGCCGCATCCATCCAACATGCGCTCCAGGCTCGACACCTGCGTAGTAGTGGTGGTAGTAGTACTAGCAGCAGCAGCAGTGGTGTCCGATTCGTCCCCGTTGTCGTCGTCACCGCGATACTCGAGCTCTCTGAGCTGCGCATCCCAACCCTCCAGCCGCCGCACCAGAGCCGCGGCCTCGTCCTTCCAGCGCGCGTCGAGACCGCCGCCGAAGCGGACGTCCGAGTTGTCATCCAGCAGGGCCGAGGGGTCGCCGCTGTCCTCGGCACGGGCGCGCGCGGCCTCGAGGTCGGAGAGGGTCGATGCCCAGCGCTCAAAGGCGCGGACGAGACGGTGGTGTTTGCCGCCTGGGCTGTCGAGGGACCAGAGGGAGGTTAGGAGGGCGTCTAGGCGCTGGATTCTGTCTTCCAGGGGGATGATGGGGGTGGATGCCTTGCCGCCGGCGGCAGCGGATGATGATGATGATGATGATGACGGACCTGTCGCCGCCCAGCTGCGTAGGGCGGCAACGTTGAGGCGCTCCACCGCGTCGGATTCCAGGGCGGCGAGGTCCTTTGCGGAGGCGGCAAGTTCGGCATGTCGGGCGGCGAGTTTCTGGCGGGCGCTGGCGTGCCATTGTGAGGTGACCTGCGGCAGGTCGCGGTGGAGGAGGTGGAGCTGGAGGAGCTCGGTCTGCAGGCGGGACGTCTCAGCCGTGAGGGCGACGTTGGCGGGGAGCTTTGAGGGGGAGGGGGCGGCGAGGTAGGTCGCGGTCAGGGGTTTCGGGGCGAGGGACTTGGCGGGGGAGTAATGCTGTTGAAGGGTCGAGAAGGCTGGGCGCAGAACTGGTTTGGCTCTTGGCGGCGAGGTTGGGGAGGCTTGTCTTTGTTGGTGTTGGCGGGTGAGGTGTGGTGGTTGTGTTTGTGGTTGTTGCTGCTGCGAGGGTGGTTTCGGGGGTTGTTTTGGGGGTTGTCGGACGGGTGCTGTGGTTGTGCTGCCGGCTCGGGCTGTACGTGTTGATGTCGTGGTCGTCGCGGAGGAGAGGGAGGATACGGATGGTTTCGAAGAGAGACGGTCTGTTGCTGAGGGCGGACGGGGCCTCGCGGTCGTTGACGTTGTTGATGATGATGATGGGTACGAATATGCAGGAGGTGCGCCGTAAAGGGACGTCGGGCGTGATCTCGCCGGTGCGGCGGCAGCGCCCCCGGCGGACGACGCCTGGCTCAGGGGTCGGAGGACAGTGCTGTTGTTCAGGGTTGCGACGCTCCTTGCGCGCGCGTGGCCCTTTGTGGGACTCCCCGCTGCCGCTGCTGCTGCTGAGGTCGCTGGTGCGGCGGCGCGTCTCGTGGCCGGCAGGCCGCCTGATGTGGTTGGTCTCGTCGTTGTCGGTGTGGTCGATCCGGAACCGGCCCCGGCTCCGGCGTGGGATGTCGAGGCGAGACCGAGGTTGCTCGTCGAGGCGTTTGCGGGGTATCGCGTCCGCGCCAAACCCGGCTCCCTCGTCGAAGACGTCCTCGTGAGGCCCGAGAGCGCGCTGGTCCTCGTCAATGGGGCGCTTGTTGGTCCCGAGCTGGTAGGTCCTCCCCCTCCTGCTCCTCCGGTCGTCGCATCTCTCTGCCTCGTCGATGTCGACGTCGTCGCAGACGCTGGTTGGCGCGCCGAGGAGCTCCTGCTCAGGAGCGACGATAGGGGATTCGGCCTCTTCTTCTTGGGCGCCTCGGAGGCGGCGCTGGCGGCGCTGGCGCCGGAGACGGTGCGCGTTGTAGGACGCGTGGCAGCGACGGAACGGGGCGCGGGGAGTCTGCTAGGCGAGAGGGGCCGGTTTGACGTGGACGCCGACGCCGATGGCGCGGCCCCTCCTCCTCCTCCTCCTGCGGTCGAGCTCGCGGTGCCTCTAGCTGCTGCTGTGGTCGAAGCCGAGGGTGCGGACGTCGTCTTCGTCGGAGGGAGATCGGTCGAAGAGCCCTGCGTCGGCTTCCGCAGTGAGCGGGTGCGGGCTAGGGATGAGGACATGACTGTGTCGGGCCCTCCAGGGAGTTGAAGATCATGCGGTTTCCGGGGGGGTGGGTTTCCTCCGAATACTCGACGGGTCTTTACGCGTCTCCGCGGGGAGGGACCCAGCCTCGAGATCGGTCGCTCGGTCGATCTGATAGGTAGAGCAAAGGGGTCGGGTTCAATCGCAAATTGTGAGAACGAATGAGGGTCGCAGCGAAATCGGTGGGGAGGCTTCGTCCAAGCGATGCCGATTCGCGATGTTGATGTTGATGTCAGGGGCCGCGCCGGATAGTTCTGTGCGGTGTGGGGGTTGCTAGGGGCCCGGGCGGCGGTGGGGGGAGCGGCGATGAAGTTCAGGCTCTGATTCAGATGGAAGGCCACGCCAAGATGACGGGATACTTTTGGCCCATGGCAAATCAAGGCGGTGGAGGTCGGTACCGCAGTAACGCCTAGTCTGAAGGAAGGATCCCTTACTCGACCGACTGGGCTGGCCGCTGGGCTGCCTGCCTGCCTGCCACATCTATCCGCCGCCCTGCAGGAGCCTTCTAGCGCCGGCGCTTGGGTCACTTTGAACTCCAACGTTGTTGTCGGGCTGAGCCGAACAGTGGCACCGTCTGTTCGCGAATCTCACGCTTCCATTGTCTTTTTCCTTCCTCCCTCCGAGGACACCCTCCCTACCTTTGCCCCAGCCATGTCCCTTGCGTGCCCGTAACGCAAAGCAGCAATTTCCGGTGCATCCGATTAAAAAAAAAAAAAAAAAAAAACATCCACGTACCCGATTCTCTGCCAAGCGTCGTATCCCGATATAATCGCAGATGGCAGGTCGTCCCACCAGGACCAGGTCTAGGTCGTGCGTGCAGCTTGTTGCACGACGTATTTTCAACACAGGTCTTGTTGGTGTCTCTGAGCTCTGGTCGTGTGTATCACTATAATTTACCGCATATACGAACTTGAAGAATTTTTTTAAAGTAGTCGAGTTTTAATTCCGGCTCTCTAGAGTCCACCCTTCAAATCTGGTATGCCTTGTCTTTTCCCTTACCCCCCCATCTTTCCTTTCGTTATGAGGCTTCGTTTCGTGTGCTCAGAGATTGCATCAAGCAAGTAGTAATCCACCAACAAACAAGAAAATGTGCTCGTAACCTTTTCCCTCTTACTGGGGCCACGACTTCCTATACGCAAACGTTGGTATCTTGGGGTGAGAAGGGGTATCAACCAATCGACCTCTCTCTATCTAATCCCGCAATGCAGAAAGTTAATTTTTTTTCCCCTCGACGAAATCCGTGAAAGTCCGGTCGCCGGGGATGTGAAAGCCGCTTGGCAGTGAAATGGCCATGCGATTTCCCTACTTCAAGCCAAAAAGAAGAGAATTGGAAAATGTAAATGCGATAGTAATCAGGCCGCAACTGATTGGTGATACTGTTGTTGTTCATCTGTGCGCTGCTCCTCTTTCTGGGGGGCCTCAATGCCGGCAGCCGTAGCAGGGCGTTCTCGAGAGCCGCCGCTCTGTGGGTTGCCCTCCAGGTGAGCCATGAGCTTCCGGAGATCTCTCTGGTTGCTGTTGAAGATTTGAAGACAGGAGCCGCACATACGCACGTAACAGAACTGGCACTTGTAACGATCCTCAGTATCGGCCTTACCGCAAGTCTGGCAGGTGAGGGCGTAGTTCCGGTTGCGCGTGCGGTCCATGGTGCGGTGCTTGACATAGCAGTCGAGCATGCTCTCCTTCAAGGGCAGAGCCTTGTAAATCATGCCGGGGCTGGGAGGCTCGGAACCCTGCATGGGAAAGAACGACGCGCGAGGGTCGGCAGGCGGCAGGTCCTTGACCTTGAGCTCGCGGTACTCGACGGGTTCCTGGTTGGGACGCTGATCTCTCGAGGCAGGTCGCGTGTCTCCCTGCGCGAATCCGGGTGCCGGCGCATAGGGCACATACTCCCGCTGCTGCTGCTGTTGTTGTCGTTGCTTGATGGATGCGGCCCGAGGCGGGAGCTGGTTCCGAGGATCGGGATTGACGGGATTGACTGCGAAGTCTCTCGTGATTGTGGGAGGAGCGTCGTTGCTGGTGACAGGTCCATCCACGCGCATTTGGGGCAGGCTTTGGGCATTGTGTAAGTTCTGTTCTGTGACCGCCTTTCGAGGAATGGAAGGCTTGGATTCATTCGCTTGATCGCGCCCAGGCTCGGGAGATGAAGCGGGTGAGACGGGCGATACAATGGTTTCGACAACCGGTGTCTTAACGTCCTCCTTGGCATAATCGGGAGTCGGTAGGCGTTGGGTTGGCGAAAGCGCCGTGTCGCTGTGAGAGGCTACCATGTTTGCGCCATCCTGGCCATCGCGCAAGTGATGGATTTTCTCCTTCAAACGTGACACTTCCTGACCCATGTTGTTCGTTTGGGCTGTTTGACTTTGAGCGGGAACAGGACGAATATTTCGTCCAGGAAGGTTTGATGTGCTGCGAGGGGGAAATTGTTGCTGCTGGGCCGGGGGAGGGGTTGCCGAGTATGAAGTTTGCGCGGTGTTTGGTTGAGAAGCAGCAGTCGACCCGTGGCTGGCTGTCAGATGTAAATCTGGAACCTCTATATTACGATCAGATTTTACAGATCTCCTCCTCCATAGTGGTCTCTGTTGTTGCTGAGGCGATGCGGTTGATTCAGCGCTTGTCGGGCTGCCAGCAGTCGGCGCAGGTGCCGAATTGATCGGACCGGACCCGGCCTGCTTGTTGTAGTAGGCCGGATGAGGTGGCAGGCCCTTGTTGGGTGTGAACTTTTGTGCGCCATAGTGGTCATTGTCACCAGATGACAACGAGGTTGGCGTCAAGATCTTGTTTTCCCTTGTTCCATACTGTTCAGAGGCATAGGCCTGAGTCGAGTCTCTCTGACTTGCGCTTCCATCCGGCGACATGAGCGATTCCCCTGAGCTTCTTGAATACGCTGAAAGCAGACTACCGATCGAGTTTCTTTCGTCCTGGGGAGAATATGACTGCTGCTGTTGCTGCTGCTGGTTCGCCGAAGCGGATGGCGGCGATGGTTGCTTTGCAACTGGGCGGCGAGGTATATGTACTGGGGGTAGCGCTTTCGTCTCGAGGGGAGGGAGGGGAGGGAGAGACTGGTTGAGGGGTTGCGGCGGTGGAAGCGGTTTGTCTGACATGGCGAAGGCCTTCTTGGAAGGGACGGGTGGAACGGAAGGTATCGAAGGTAGCTGCTTAGACTTGGGAATGGGTTCGGCCTTTGGAGACGGAGGGGTGGGCAGGGCTTTTGAGAAACGCGACCTTCCCTTGCGACTGTGAGAACGGAGGAAGTCCATGTTGGATGAGGGCCCGATGGCGGTGGGTAACCCTACAATTGGGATGACGGCGCAGTCCCCCTTCCCCTTTGCTACTGCCTTGCCTCTCTTCTCTGCCTTTCCTGCGGTAGTTGATCTGGTCTGTTTAGACTCTCACCAATCGGCTGGCCGAAGGAAATCACCAAGGAGGTAGGGCCAGGGGGGATCAAGGCACCAAAAGCTGACCACGAAGGGTTGGTGGGACTCGAGAGTCGAGACCGTGGGACGAAGGATGGATGGCGACAGGTTGATTGGAGCGACGACGTTCGGGGGTTTGCCTTTGCCACGACGTTCGGTGCCGTAGTGTTGCGATGCTGGGAGAAGCAAGCATCAAGGGTCTTTGGAAGAGAGGAGTAGACGAGGATTCCGCGACGAGCACAGCAGCAAATGCCTGCAGAATAAAGAGGACCTTGGGAAGGGGAAAGAAGAAACTTCTGTGGTATCCAGGAGTTGGTTGGATAAGAATGTAACTTGAAGGGGTGGCAGAAGTAGAACAATGAATGAATGACACCGGAAGAGGTGGGAAACGGGAGAGGGTAGGGGGGGAGGGGGGTGTAGTTCGGCGTCAAGTTTAAAGCTGGCAGCCACGGAGAACCCTGCGATGGGGCCGGGTGTCTGAACGTTGACCTTTTTTTTTTTCTTCCCTCTCTGCGCCTCTGCGGTTGGGAACTTGGGACGGGATTGACAAGGATGACATCGATATGTTTAAGGTGAAAAGTACCTTGTGGATGCCCACCTCATCAGCATGCCCAAAAAAATGGCAGATGCGTTGGTACGGATACGCGGCGTCGCGTCCAAAGAACCTAATAAACGAGGTAACGCAGTTGGCTGCTGGCGAGGCATGTCTCTTGGATGCGTTGTCAGCGGCGAAAAGATACTTGCAAAGGCATCTCTAGGTATCCTCTTGAGCAAGGTCCTATGTATTTTTGCTACCTTAGTAGCGTGCCTGCCTGGACGACTGCGTCTGCACCGCAAAGTCCGTCATTGGCTCCGTCAGACTGGATCCGGCCCCTCCCATCCCAAAGTGCGGAGCAATTGGCAGTTGCGACTTGCGAGTGTGACCCTCCCACCTCCCAGCAGCGTCGGCAGCCCTGCAATGAAAGCAGTCGTTGCAAGCTGGATTCAGGAACAAGAACACACTTGCCGGGGTTGTTCGGGGCTGGGTTTTTGGGGGTTGGCTTGTGCTTGGCCGGCTGGGGCTGGTGGCGGCTCGCAGATGTGGTGGATGCGGCATGCCTTGACACTGACACATCCCAAGTACCCCCACACCAATTTAACTATGGAAGTCGACATTGACAGCTCACCAACCTTACTAAGGTGGCTACCTAAGGTAACCACCATCGGCATCATCAATTCAACCCACGGGCGACGGAGGCCGAGACGAGGCCACCTTCAGCTGTCAATGTCAATCCCTCCCATGCACCTTCCGGGCTGTGCTCTCCAGTACACCACCAAAGTACAATTCACTCGCCAACAGGACAGCCACTTTGCTCTCCCAAATTCCCAACGGACCTGCTCCCGAACGCATGCTTTCACCTCTGCAGTCACGCAGCTAAAAAAGCCCACCGGCTTTCCCTCATACGCGCATGCGGCTCCTGATTCAATCCCATCCATCTCTAATCTTATCCTGCATGCCTCGGGCGCGGCAGCTTCGAGACAATAATCAGAGGACAAGACAGGCGTGCCTCCAACAACCACCTCAGCCAAGCAAGCACCCCTCCCCGCTCCGTCACCTTTGGTTCCCAATTCCCATCTCAATTGTTGGTAGGCTGAAACAGCCCGCTGATGCATGGGGCTACTCAAGTTGATTCGACCCAGGCATGACGCCCGCGTTTAATCACCAAGGATCGCACGTCGCAATGACTGAGAATGCGTCTTGTTACGGGTTGACTGTTCAGAATGAGCACCTCCCAACTCCCTCGGTCTCCTGTGTAACTTCTGCTGGACGCCAGCTAGATGACGTAAGGCCTCATCCGTCTGCTGCCACCAAGTGGCGAGGCCACTCGAACACCCAACATGAAGTGATTATTGAGCTGCTGCCATAGGCGTCCGATCTCCCTCATCCGAGCTTTGGCTCCGACGTACGGATATCTGTTCAACCAATCGTGTGCAGCGCGTATACATACTCGTGATGGATGGCACGCCATCTGCAACTCAGCCGCCGTGCCGCGTATTGAGGCGACAAATACCTCGTTTCGAACTTGGCTCGAGTCGGTTTTGGCTGTACCACCTACCTACCATACGCCATCATGAACCACCCCCATAAGAAACAGAAAATCGCAACCAAACTGAACTTTCCGTGGGTCCTTGATTCTGCCCGCAACGCCTGCTTGCGGATTCGGAATTCACTTGCACCATTGCCTGTCCAGCGGGACGTGGTACCTCATGGAATGCACCGTTGCAGACTCGAAGCAGGGAGAAGCACGAAGATCAAAGTCACCAATCGCAGCCCACGCACCGTCTCGTTGAAGCTGAACAGAGGCCGCCGCCCAGCCACTCTCGACGTGGCATAGGTTAAACCCGCCTGATGTCTCATCAGTGCGTCGACATGGCGCGACGCACGCGATTAGACTACTCTGGTCTCGAGCTCTGGCCCTGCAATCTGTCAACTATGTCTCTTAGACCGTGTACGATCATTGATAGCTGGTCTGCGTTCGCCGCTCCCGTTTCTAGATCCGCCGCTATGAATGCCTTTCTATTTAGCGACTCGAACCAGCCATATAGCGATCTGCATCAGGGAAGCCAACCAGACTCCGGAGCCTTGCGGCGTCTGGTTCGAGAACGGGCACACGAGGTCACATCTCACCTTCAAATCCCCGTCCGGCACCAGAAAAATGTGGATGGCCTTGCGGCTCGCTAAGCCCAGGAGCCCGCGCTGCCCGGTCCCCCCTGACGAGGGATCTCGCCGGGGTGAAATTCAAGTCTGATGAACATCGGATCAAACCAAACCCCTGAGAGCTGCGCTTGGTGTCGAACGATCATTCTGCGGCTGCAAAACTGGCTTTACCGGACCAGTGCCCCGGAGGAAACGCTGTATTCGTATATTACAGAGTAATGCCCTTGTCATTCGCATGAACAGCAGGTTTGAGCCATTTCGAGTTCCTCGGTCATCCGAGTCTCACACGCCTGTCTCTGGGATAGCCTTGCAAGTACTTCAGACCGAGGGGTGCCGTGCCGTGCCTCCGCCGGGCTTTTCCTGCGCCCTGTGCCCTGTGCCCCCCTTGAAATCCCAAGGTCGATGACGACGAAAAGTTCAACTCCCGCCTTGCAGACGCACAAAGTTGGGACGACATAAGGGGTCGACGCGCTATGGCCGCACTACGTACCACTCTGTCGTCGATTGACCTTTGACTATCGAAAACTTAGACTTGTAAGGGACGATGTTGACTGGGACCGATGAGCTGTTGTACAGCACACGAGAAGTGACGACGCCGGCGCCGTGCTGTTCTACCAGTTTACCCCCGCAGGATCGTTCGAATGGGTCAAGCGGCCGTTTGATTGAGGAGCGAAGTCCCGCGGGCTTGGCACGAAAAAGGACGCATTGCAGCGGAACGACGACAAAGGCCTTGTTCCTGTTGGCAGCCAGCCCACGAGTGAGTGGTTCGCGTCGCAGCATGCAGGTTGCCTTGTTGTGGGAACCCGCATCGCGCGCATTGCGGAAAATAGATTGACATTAAAATGATTTTTGGGGCCGCCTTTGTGGGAGGATGGAGCAGAGACGCGGCGGACGGATTGTTTCACACCGGCAGGATTTTTTAAGATGAGTAGTACGGATAGTCTACAGTGCTACGGATACGAATACTTCGTATGGTTCATCGTTCGCGCTGCGGTCGTCCGTCTACCTTACCCGCCGGCCCTGCTGATTCGATTGACGAGATGACTGGTCAATTGATTAACGGGAAGCTCGGGGCGACCCGATCGAAGGCCGGGCGAGCTGAGGGCCTGAGTTTTTTTCCTTCAAGCTTTTAGCAGCATTGAAGCGGGAAACCAAGCATGCCAGGCTGATTTGATTTCCGACGCCGTTACATTTTTACCTCACCCTGGTTCCGTCAAGTCCGGACGCGTCTTCGCGTTTTTTTTGTTTTTTGTTTTTTGTTTTAGCTTGCCCGTTGTTTTCCGATGAAGGTTTCGCATCGAGGACTTGATTAAAGAGAGTCTCTGTTCTAGTACGACCCGGGGTCAAATAGGCTCATGAGCTAGGGTTCAGACCAACATCTCCATCGCTGTCTTGACTTTTTGTTTAGGACTCGGGAGACGATCGATCCAAAATACTCCCCACTCTTCAGGAGACACCTGCGATCACGTGCTCCGGTGCGCGAGTGTCGTCACTGGCGATAACGCACGGGCTGGCTTATCGGGCGGGCATACATCCGAAGAGGGCCCTGACAGAAATGGCGCTTAACTGTTTGCAGGAGACGGATTAGCAATCCTCGTCGGGCTGAATGCGAAAGTCGGAAAGATAGCGGGGAGCGGTAGGGAAATCAATTGACTTTATATTCAACCGGGAGTTGGGATTGTATCTCTTGTTCAGAGCGTTCAACGTGTTGGCAAATGGGAGGACAGCAAAAAGTCTCGCGAGTCATTGTTTCTATCACCAAAAGCACAGCACAGCACAGCACTCACTGTTTCCGGCCGCCCCTCCGCCGCAACGATGACCGGCTCCGTCAATGGCGCCTCCGTACCGACGGAGACGTCGCCGCTACTGCGTAACTCCGACTCGGAAGCGGCCAATGGCAACGGCACCGTCGGCAACGGCAGTCAACAGAACGGCGCTACGTCCGCGACCCCGGCCGCCGACGCCGATGACAATCGGGACGGCGACCCGGAGATGGCCAAGAAGATGCACTTACTTCTTCCGGCCGTCGGTATCGGCGTAGGTCCCACTCCAACCCGGGTCCTTTCTTTGACACAAGCCTCTGGGGGCGCTCGGCTCGAACCCTTCAGGACTGACCTGGACTGACTGCGTTTCTAGATCTACCTGTGCGCCGTTGATCAGCTGCTCACCGTGGCGACGTACGCCAAGATCGGGAGCGAGTTGCATGCGCTGAATTATACGAGCTGGCTGGCAACATCGTGAGTGACGCATCCCTCCCCCCCTCCTCCGTCCGTTAGAGACGCGTACGGTGACCAGTCTCGCGTGCGCCGTGACATGTCCGAACATTACTAAGAATCATGGCGCCACAGCTACTACATCACCCTGACCAGCTTCCAACCCCTGTACGGCAAGCTCAGCGACATCTTTGGCCGCAAGGAGTGCCTCCTCTTCGCCTACACAATCTTCGCCCTCGGCTCCCTAGGCTGCGGCCTGGCCCAGTCCTTTACCCAGCTCTGCGTCGCCCGCGCCGTGGCGGGCATCGGCGGCGGCGGCATGAACAGCGTCGTCGCCATCCTCCTCAGCGACATTGTGCCCCTCCGCGACCGCGGCGTCTGGCAGGGCTACCTCAACATCATCTTCGCCGCGGGCACTTCGACCGGCGCGCCCCTCGGCGGCCTGCTCGCCGACTCGGTCGGCTGGCGGTGGTCCTTTACGGGCCAGGTGCCGTTGTGCGTCCTCGCCTTTCTCGCCGTGTACTTTGTCCTCGACGTCCCGCGGACAGACCACGCCCACTGGCGCGAAAAGGTCGGGCGGATCGACTTCCTCGGCGCCGCCACGCTCGTCGCCGCCGTCGTCGCGCTGCTCGTCGGCCTCGACTCGGGCTCCAACAACGGCTGGTCGAGCCGGCTGACCGTCGCCGCGCTGGCCGCGACCCCCGCCCTGTTCGCCGTCTTCGTCTATGTCGAGATGCGCGTCGCCTCGCACCCGTTCGCGCCGGGCCACATCATCTTTGACCGCTCGCTGTTTGCGTGCTACCTGGCAAACTTTTTCGGCATCGCGGGCCACATTGCATCCATCTTCTTCATCCCCTTGTTTTTCCAGGCCGTGCAGGGCACCTCGGCGACGCTCGCGGGCGCGGCGCTCGTGCCCGCCATGGTGACCTCCGTGACCGCGAGCGTCAGCGCCGGCGTCTACATGAAGCGCAAGGGCCGGTACTTTACGCTGACGGTGCTGGCGTACGGCCTCATGGTCGTGGCGGTGGCGCCGACCGTGGCGGCGCTGTACGCCCGGTCGTCGGCGGGCGTGGTGGGCGGGATGGCGCTGCTGGCGGTGGGCGGCGGCGCGGGCATCACGACGACGCTGGTGGCGCTGCTGGCCAACGCGGCGGCGCGGGACTCGGCCGTCGTGGTGGCGTGCTCGTACCTGTTTCGGAGCCTGGGGTCGAGCATCGGCATCAGCGTGTGCTCGGCGGTGCTGCAGCAGGTGCTGAGGACGCAGCTGGCGGCGCGGCTGAGCGACGGGGACGAGGCGCGGCGGGTCGAGGAACGGGTCCGGGAGAGTCTGGATTATATTCGGGAGCTGCCGCCCGCCGTCGCCGGGGAGGTGAGGGCGAGTTATCAGGTCGCGACGTTGGGGGCCATGGTACCCATGGCGGCGTTGCTCGTGCTTGCTTTTGGAAGTACGTTTTTTATTAGGGAGAAGGCTTTGGGGAAGTAAGGTGTGAGGTGTTGGTCGGGGAAGTCTTTTCTTCCTTGAAGAGGAAACCGTACTCTCCTGATCCCCACATCCGCGAGGGAGGGGTTGCTGATGTTGGAAGCAAAAGTAGGCTGGCTCTCGAGCGATTATGCACGGCACTTGGCCTCCGTCTTATCTCCATCTTGAGCTCCATTTAGAGAGAGCTAGAAAATCCTTTAGCGATCCCAATCTTGTATCAAGGTTGGCATAATAGTTGCGTTCATTTCCAGTATAATTACAGAACCATCGTTGGATGATTCCGGATATGAGTCGCATACTGAGTCGTACAGCAGCATGGTATCCCCAAGATCTTATCAGGCGGGAATATGTCAGACGTCCTCTCGGCCGTACTCACCTTGGGACCGGAAAGTACACGGCGCCTCCTGGGTGGCCGAGGTGCGCAAAGAATCCGGGGCTCGCTAGCTTGTACGGTCGCATTCGGACCTCAGTACTAGTTGTGTTATAATAGACGAATACAAGTATATTAAGAGGGGGGTTTTGTGACCTTTATAGCCCAAATTAGGGGCGGCTTGGTGATAAGTCTTGTCTAAGTGGACAGCAAAGTCGAAACAGGACGATTACAGTCTCGAGGCTTTTTGTATCCTGGGTCGAGGCAGTTGGAAGGAAATCTTGCCCGGCCATAAAGGTGGACTAAGACGAGAAGGATGGACAGAATATCAACGGCTAAGCCTAGATACTTATAGCGAACTAGAGATTGCTCTCGGAGACAGACAGTATAAGATGGTGTGACTGGTTTGTCCAGTGCGGTTTTCAGCAAGGTGTGCGGTGCGGAGAATACGTGAATGGACTCCATCGATTTCATCCTTTCACGGCGCATTTCAAGAAGCATCGTAGATGATGCCGGCGATTCAGAATCTCAATCTCGTGGCTTCTCCCTCATCCGTTTCTCTCGTATCATTCAAACGGCCCGAACTCTCTGGAAAGCAGATACCTATACGAGGGCAGCCTCAACCCAGCCGCTGCGATTACAGTCTTGGTACCTGGTTGTGCATACTTCTATCCCTACTACCTACGTTCGAGCATGGGCCAATACCTGGTATAGGTGCTTCTCTTTGAACTGACGCTTCAGGAAGCTCGCAGGAGCTTACAAGCGCGATTGGCTGAGATGTAGGAGGCGACCACAACAAAGTGGCATACATCTCCTTAGTCGCCAACGCCGTGGCGCGGGACGGCCGCTTCTTATTCTAGCGATGACGGCTTCGGATTGCTATGCAATGCACTTAAGCGACGAAGAGCGACCAAATGATCGGCTACATTATAAAATAATCTGCCGTCTGCCGGACCTCTGTGCTTGTCGTGTATTGTAGACGATTACACGAAGAATAGGGCAAGACGATCTCTGTGGACTTTGTCGAACTCTGTGATTATATGATTCTGAAGTTTCTCTTCAAGAAGAAATATAGATAGAGAGATAGATCATTCATATTCCAATTTCGTCTTCGTCGCCACCTATCTGGGTGTTCTCCAAGATGACAGAATCTGGCATCGAAGTTGACTGCTCCACTTCATTTTGGATTATATACTTTGTTGACTTGTCACGTGAAAGAGCAACGAAGTCCAGATAAGATTTACGAGCTCGTTCTAGTCGAAGCGAATACGCCATTCGCCATCCAGAAGTGCATACGAAAGGTACTCTGGATGCCAGAGCCCTTTGAGTCCGCATCTTTGAGTGTTGCTTCTTCTTGATGCCTCGCGCTATTGGGGAACTCGGCCATACGACGATATGAGCAATCGATGCCGTTGCACAGTGCTCACGGGCGCTCGTATGACCCGGTCCGATCCTGTAAGCTGATTTCATTGATGTTGCATCCCAATGACAGCCGCTAGGAGACCGCCAAGGGGGGAATAAGAGGATCCAACTGTCGAGCTTGGTTTTCAGCACACGCACATGAATCAGCAACGTCTCTGTCTCCTTCGGCTTTTCTTTTGGTACACCAACATTGAAATCATACCTCTTCAGACACATGTCCAGCTCGACATGTTGCCCCTTGCCATTGACCAACGGTGGAAGTGGAGGGTGGCAGTGGTAGCGAGGAGATATGATGACACTATACGTGAAGTCGCAGCAGATAGCGGACACGAAGGAAGAAAAAGAGTCTACCTTAGGCCAACGAGGCTCTCGGGTTTCTGAAGCAGGAACACGGCACATCCAGCAAGGCCCCCCCGATCCTTCATAAATGTAACAGTCTCGTGACCCGCGAATCTGGGGGGGGAAAAAAACATGGAAACTAGGGATTTCGCATGCGAGCTCACTCTATTCTATCCTCTTTATCTTGGTCAAACGTATCCTACTTTTCGTATGCCTCCATTTCATTCTCCTATCGAAATCGGCCGGGGGAGGTGTGTTCCTAGGGCAGGGCAAACTTCCGAGTCTCCATCTCGAGGCATTGGACAGATGGAGTCGCCACCAGCTTCCCCCTCATCCTATTTCGATGCATCCACTCAGCCCGACAGCTTGGGTGAGGGGTTGATCTCTACCCTTTTCTCACCTCATCTTCCCCCACGTCAGCAGTGCATAACTGGAGAAGTCCATAACCTCAGCCCTACACGGATCGTCATCGGCGGGGTGAGGTATGTGGCGTCCTACAGCCAAGGCAGCAATGGCTCTCCCCTCAATGCAGGATGCAGAGAAGGGGGCGGAGACGACCCTCTCCACATCCTACGCACTGTCCAAGATGGGACAAAAGTTCGAAACAGTCTCAATAGTTCCATATCACGGTTACGGAGACCTATAGCTGTACGCCAAGATCCGAGATTGTAATCTCATAGGCATAGTGTTTGTCCTTCTTGCATTTGCTTGTCCCTTCTCCTTGGCGGAGAGGAGACCGTCGAGCTATCTACCGACATTTGCGCCACGGCAAAACAAAATGTAGCCGATTCGTCTGGCGAGCTTGCCTCCCCAATCTCTCGTCTCGTTCCTTTGTATCGTGAAATCATAAAGTCTGACGTGAGTGGATATCAAAAGTTCGAGGCCCAGCGAACAGATGGCGTAAATCCAAAAAGGGAATTGGGGGAAGCGTTCCGGGCAACCCAAGACAAGGTCGACTGGGACTCAGACACCAGGTCTCTGAAGCTCGCGATCCAGCTCGCGATTGTCGGTAAATTCCTTGATTTCCTTCATAGTTTCCATCCCTTTGAGAGATGTGCCGTTCGTCGAGTCTCTGTCTATCTGGAACGGGCAATGGTTATTCTTTTATGTCGCGATCGTCCTCCACATCATGAAATCCATCCTCCATCTCTCCCGTACCACGTTCTTGGTGTTCACAAGAACGAGCGGCGGGGGAAGCTGACGCCCTCAACGGCGGCGTTGTCGACGAACCAACTGACGCGGTCGCCGGCGCCCTCGTTGACCAGGGCGCAGGGAAGTCCATCGCCATGCTCAAAGATCCTCTTCATAATGTCCTTCTTGCCGCCACCAGTGGCGACAAAGGCAATCTTGACGCCGTGGTTCACAACAGGGAGGGTGAGAGTGATGCGCTTGGGCGGGGGCTTGGGCGAGTCTTCGATAGGAGCAACCCAGGCGGTGGTCTCGCGCAGCAATTCGTGGCCGGGGAACAGACTACAGGTGTGTCCGTCGGGGCCGGAGCCGAGGAGCAGCAAGTCGAAGATGGGCAGACGCACGCTGTCGCGGCTGGCAAAGCTGGTGACGAGAGTCTTTTCGTACTGATCGGCCAGCTCCTGGGTGTCATTCAGGTAGGTTGTGTCGATAGGATGGACGGTCGGGGCGCCGAGCTCCTCGGGGATCTTGTCGAGCAGCTGGCTCTTGAGGAGAGCATAGTTGGAGTCCTCGTGGTCGAGGGGAACGGCGCGCTCGTCTGCGAAGAAGATCTCCCACTTTCCAAAGTGAACCTGGTCCTCAGGGCCGGTGGACGGCGTGAGCAAGGCCTGGGCTAAAGTCTTGGGCAGGGAGCCACCAGAGACGGCGACCTTGAAGGCACCATGACGGTTCAGACCTGCATTTTGTGCTTGGATGACGTAGGAACGCAGCGCGGGCGCAAGTTCGTCAACCGACGGGTAGGCGAAGAGGTTTGGCTGTTTATTGCTCATGGTGGGGTAAAGTAGGTTGGTGGAAGGCGGAGGGCGGGGGGCGGAGAAGTGTGATGTCGGACGCGAGGTTTACGTTGTGAAGGGGGGGCGAAGAGGAGGATGTGAAGGGAAACGGTCTGCTTTCGGTGCAGAATGAGGGGCGGTCCGAGATTGGAGAAGGTGCGCGCGAACTCCGGCTTCTTGCTGCGGGATGTAAAGCGTTTTTTTTTTCTTCCTGGGCTGGCAGATTTGCTTGGGTGGTGCGCCTGGTTGGTTGAGATTTGGAGGTTCAGATGAAGAGTCTTGAGTGCTGTCTGCATACGGGAGGGAGGTAATGAGGACCGAGGATATAGATAGTGTCGGTCTAATAATCAAGCGGCGGGATGGGTCATGGATGTTTCCAGATGCCTGGAAGATGTGAAGGGCCAAACCCAAAAAATAGAACAATAAACGATAGCGGGGCCAATGGATGAATATTTTGTATCTGTGTCTTTTTTTCTTGGGGGGGTGGAGGGGCAGGAAGTGCACACAGTAATGAAGGCACGGTACGGACGTATTCGTACAGGCAGGAGGAGACGGGACTGGAACTCCAGTCCAGCAGCTCGGGCAGTGTGGCTCGACCCAATTATTCTATGCCGGCTGCGCTCTGAGCTTGGGTCCCCCAATCCAGGTGATTTCTTTGGCTTGATGGTCAGTGGGAGCAAGTGCTTGGTGCTCGATGGTTGGTGGTAATAATCTCATGTGAGATAGCGTAGGACGAGGGCGGGCGGATGTATGCAGGCAGCAGGTAAATTTGCACCGTTTCACCATGGATTTGTGATCGATAACGGCGGGAGGAAGGCAAGTCGGCGGAATCGGCCATTGATTTGAGCACCACTGCCTTAAGGTACGCAACAGGGTGTGACACGGCGGCGTGCCGTGTTTCCAGTGGACCGACCGCAATGCGGTATTGTATATCAAGAATTCTTGATTGTCTCTCTTGGGTTCAATGCTGCCTCGCTTTAGTCTTGGTGATGAACAGCAACGAAGGACATGGAGTTAGGTGCCATCAGAGAAAGAATGGGCTGACTGATGATCAATGACATGTCCGCAAAGCTAACTGTTGTAGTCGTTAGTCCGTTAGTGCATCCGTAAGGCACACATGGGTGATTTGCCAAAGCAGCTGCGCTGTCCCCAAGAAGTCAAGGAGTAATTGCAGTTCCGGTACTGGATGCTGTCCGGCATGGCGCTGATGCAGCACTAGTAGATAGATCGAGTCGGCGTGTTGGCGTGTCGGGTGGCTGGTGGCTGGCGGATGGAGGATGATGAGATGATTTGTGGTGAATCGAATCGCCATGACAATGGCTGGGACACCTACGTTAGCGGATGGAGCGCTCTACGACAAAGGGACGGCCCACGGCCTACGGCCCTGACCGAACTGTCCGCCGGTCGGGAAGCAGCGCCGCTGCCTCAGAGCTAGAGCATGGAAAATTCGCTCGGGTGCAATCCGTGAGATGTCGATAAAGAACGGCAAGTTTGAAGCACAGAGCGGAGAGGAGAGATGGGCCGGGGTGACAAGTCCGTCCGAAACATCAGAGAAGCCCTGCCTTCATGCTGCTCCTGAGACTTGGTCTCAATGTTCCTGCTGATTCCAACGCGGACTGAAGCGACAGGAAACACCGCCGTCTGAGCAGTGCTTGCCAGGGTAAGTTAACAAACGGTTCCTGCCCAGCTCGTTTCTTTTCGTCCCCCAGTGACATGAGCCCAGGCCACACGGCCACACGGCCACACGGCCACCAAGACGACAAAACGACAAGACGAGAAAGCGCCATGCACGATCCCTTCCTGAACACCTCCAACGGTCTGCCGGAAGGAACGCTCCAGGACCTGTTGGCCCGCGTAGGTACCCTTTCCTGACCAAGTACGGTATTTGAGGTACCTTACTGGACTCGGTTGTTGCAGACATCTCCTCAGGGAAGACAGGACCGACATTGCTTCAAGAGCCACCTCTGCTTTCGTCCAGCCAATCGCCCTTCTGCTGGTTCGCCGGATGGTGTCGCCTCACGCAAGGCCGAGTGTCACCAGACAACTGTCTGCCGCTGGCCGTCGGATCGACACCATGACGGGATGCACCTCCGTGGACGATGCCGCCGATTCACCCACGTTGCGACTCCCACGTTGCGACTCCCACGTTGCCATTGTGTTGCCAGCTTCTGGCATGTGCCAGCGAGTCCGGGGAAGGCGCCTAGACCACTGGCCCGAACCAGCGCGCCTTCAGCTGCGAACTATTACCAGCCAACTTCAAAATCAAACTCAACTCTAATAAGCTACCTATTACCACGCCGAACAACAGCAGTCTAATCTTTGGGCGCCCATCGTCCCTGATTCCGCGTCACCGACAAGTGTGTGACTTTCGGGTACATTATCAACTCTACAAAAGCACGGAACGGCGATCGGAATTCTGACCGAGCCTTCAATATCCGCGTACCTCCGCTGCGTTACACAAAACGATACTGGGGAAATACCGTCAAGCGCTGATGCCTTATTCGCTGCCCGAAACACAAATATTATGTCAAATTGACGACATACCTACTTTGGTATCCACCATGGGTCTCTGCACGACTGTCAGCTGTACACGTACAAAGGCTGCTTGATGCATGGCATGTCTACAGTCCGCAACCTCAAAAGTCTCGTCACCTCTCTTCTGCATCATCATTCGCGTCCGCAATAACGTTTGAACAATCATGAGAGATCTTGACACCGTTGGGAGTCTTTACAACAGTAAACTTAGGATGCGTCATTGTTCGTGGCGCGTTTGATAGACCCCTGCATGACTCGACAAACCACCACCAGGTGGCTGATAAACCTCGGCTTATTGAGCGATCACAGCCGGCGCAAACTCGAGGATGCATCAGAATGTTGCGCCCGGCATCGATGCATCTCGATAATGACGTCACTGCAACGAACTGACTCGGAACTCCTCCATTGCCAATTCAAGGGAACCATCACGAACCGCCGGGCGGACGGGGGTTCACCAGAAACCTGGTCCAGCTACTGCGGGGACGCTGTCGTCATACTGTTGACGCGAAAACCAAAAAGGAGGGGCGTAGGCGGGTCGCAGCGCTTGAAGTGAAGGGCGGCGTTCTGAAACGGAATCCCGCGATATCATCATCCACAAACGGTCCGGTTTTCAGTCTGCAAGTTGTCCGTCGCGCGGGAAAACGACAGTTAAAACAATGCAATCGCCGATGCATATGTAAGAGGCGTTCGATTTCCAGCAGCGCGCTGCAGGATGTGGACATGGTTCACGGCGGTGGTCTGCCGTAGGCTTCGAACCCACCCCCTAGACGGCGCATGCCATCGGTATGTTGGCTGCGACAGACCGGAGCACGCGGAGCTACTTCCATATTTGACAAGACTACGGATATCCCACAGCTGATATCGAGCGACAAACGGCGGGGACTGGGGAGCAGCATATGCGACGAAAGTCGAAAGTGTCAATCAACTGGACCCTTAAATCACGAATGGGACGGGAGCGCAGCAAGCTCAGGGAGACCAGGTAGGTTGCCAGGGCCCTTGCAAGTAAGCCTCATTCTGCGTTTTGCCCTGCTGCTCCAGCTATCCCTTGCTGCCCCAGACGACGATCAGGAATTGGCAAGGACCGTCGAAGACACAGAGGAAAGGAATAACTCCGGGACAGCGGCAAAATGGAGGCACCTTTCCGTACATAGTAGAGGAAGGCAAGCAGCTGGACGGATGAGGGACGTGATCGACCCAACGGGCGTCAAATGCTGCATCGGCCGCGCCTATTTCGTGTCACTTGTATCAGTCAGGTGCCGTACGAGTGCGCCGGCATGTGAAAAGCTACGAGAAAAAGGTTCATGAGGAAGAAACAAGAGCCCATAAAAGACAAAAAGTCAAAACGGAAATGACGGGATGAAAGCAACGGAGAGACTGGATACTGACGTCACCAGACATGCGGTTCCTTGAAGAGGTTCCCAAAATCCCAACCCAATTCGCGACAAGTCGCAGCCCATAGTATCCACGGGAAGAGCTCGGGCAAGCGCGTGGTACCTACACGACTTGAGGCTGACAGGGTCGAGACTCAAGTACCTCGTCGCAGAGGAGCAAAGCCAAGTGGTACGAAACCATGTTTTCACTGCCACTGCCACTGCCCCCCTCTCAACCGTCCATCGAAGGGTCATCTACCAGGAACCATGGACCACGGGCAATAAGGCAAATCAAGGGTCCCAACCTACCCCTTGAAGGAAGGCATGGGTATCCGATGCTCTCTCGTCCAGTCACGCCGTTGCGCCTGGCGGTTCGACGTCAAGACATGCCCTGGTTGCCTGCACTTACGGATAGTTTTGGGAGCGGCTGCTACGCAAGTCGCAAAGTCCAGGGCAGTTTTACCCCTCCACGCGAAGGACCCTGAAGTTCCAGTTTTCAAGGGTCCAGTCCAGAACCCCCCCACTTGTCGCCACGCACCAACGGACCCCAATCCGCGCCCAATATCCAATTGACGAGTTGCAAATTTCTTCCCCTTCCCGTTCTAGCTTGAGGTCAACGACGACTTACCTTGGGTTGGTGTCAATTTCATCTTATTGCCCCCTTTTAAAAACGGCATATTTGAACGGACCGGCCATCGACCAAAAATAGGGTCTCCATCCTACTGGGACCAAGCTAGATAGACTGGGCTAGCACCTAGTCTCCGGCTACAACTGTCAGGACTGGCAGTAAACTACCCAGAACTGAACGGAGCAGCACAAGTCAAGCACGACAAAATAAGAGAGGCATCAGGGCGCACCATCACCCTCCAGACCACTCACTGCCACCGCCTCGCCTTCACTTCCGTCTGACTGACGAATAAGGACGCCTCTTGCGTCCAGTCCTGCCATCTCGTCTTTTCCCTTCATCGGCCCTTTTCCCCCTTTCAAATCTTCTCTTTCCCCCCCTTCTCTGAGTCCACTTTCCCCGGCCTCTTTCATCAGGCCGTATCTCGACTCCTTCCAACGGATATAGCCCGGCAGGGTTGCCACAAAGTGGTCTGACCAGTGGTGGGCTTGCCCCGTTCTCATCGATAACCCCCCCTCTCCGTCAAAAAATAAAATAATTAAGAGGAAAAAAAAAAAAAAAAAACCTCGATACACAACCGCGCGCAGCCGTGTGCCGGGCCTTTTCCTCCTAGGGTTCAGGTTCATCTCACCGTTCCGTTCCCGAGACGGTGTTCCATTAAGGTACCACTACACGTCTGCTTGAACTTGGACCTTGAGCCCAGCAATACCAGGATCGTTATTCTCCTCACTGACGTCAGTGTCACTTGCATCCAATTTCGATCTCGATTCCTGGGCGGCGTCTTGCTTCCTTTCTTTGCCTTGTTTCCCTTTCTTATCAGCAGCCCTACCTGCACCTTGCTGGCTGCTAGCCCCGAACAGTGCTTCCCCAAGCGCATTGCTACTAGCTTCTTTTTTCTTCACCATGTCAGCAGCGAGCACCACCACGGGCAACGAGTCGCCCTTGGAGGATGAGACCACCCGTCGCTCACATGGTCTACTCGAGCGTCGCCAACAGCTTACAGAGGGTTTGATCGACTCTCCCTACGACTTGATTACATATCTCGAGCGTGCCGTTGTCCACTCCGAGTTGGGCTACCCCGACCTGGCTGCCGGCGACGCCTACAAAGCTCTTCTTTTAACCGACGACGTCCTCATCGAGGGCTCCGAGTACCACGACCAAGCCATCGAGGCTCTTGGATCTCGCCCTCTGGACCCTTTGCCAATTGTCCTTGACCATGGAATCTTGTCGAAGCTCGGAAGCGACTACCTTACCGATGAGGCCAGGGACCAAACGGGCCTTGTCGCTCACGTGGCCAAGCTGTCTTCCGTTCGCGCCTTTCAGATCCTTTCTCTCAGTCTTCTATTGTGCGGGTGTCTAAAGAGCGCGCACGAATTCTGCGGCCGAGGCCTGTCTATCGCACCCGAGAACGATGAACTACTCCAGACGATGGGATATATCAAGCACGTCGCAAGCCGGAGATGTCGCAGTGATGACTTTAATCACAATGTTCTTCCGGAATGGGGGCTTGTTCGGAGGGAAGTCTATCCCTGGAACACGTACGAGCCTGATCGTTTTGCTCCCGAATCCCTCGAATTTCTAAACGCTGAATTATCAAAGTCCGCACCGAAATGTGCGGTACAAGTGTCTGAGCTCCCTGTTCTCCTGGAAGCAGCCAGCGAAACGGACGACTACGATATCATACCCACCTGCAATCAGCTAGGCCTTTTCGCTACACAAGACATTGCACCAGGAGAGGCCGTACTGGAGGAATATTCGCTCTTAACCGCCAACAACCGCCTCAAAGAACCAGTCTGCGACGCGTGCAGTGCGGAACTGCCACCGCTGGGCAGTGAGCCAGCCGCTGTCAACTGCGACGAATGTTACGACACGGTTTTCTGTAGCCAACACTGTCATGACATGGCGCAAGAACTTTACCATCCTGCTGTCTGCGAGAAGGATGTTGACGCCATCGCCAAGGACCCCGAAGCTTCGGAAGCCGATGAGACACTGCACCTGCTGCTTCTTGCGCGTGTTTTAGCCATGTCCAACCACCAGGAAATACACCCGCTAGATGTGACACAAATCAAGTACATCTGGGGTGATTTCGTACCTTCGGCGTCGAACGACATCGAGATATCACCTAGTGCGAATCCGCCCCCAGAGTGGACATTGCCCTTCTCATTCAAATATAACATCGAGACGCCCTTCCACATCCTTGAAAAGATGGATGTCGACATCTACAGCACTCTCCAAGAGCACGATTTATGGGTTCTAAATACCCTCTACAGCAAGTTCCGCGGTACGGCGTCGGCCCGTAAGAACCCGCGGGATGGTCGACCCGATGTCGCGGCGGTACACCCTCTGTGGTGCTTGGCCAACCACGACTGTAACCCGAATGTGACGTGGGAATGGGGAGGACAGATGGTTCTCTGGGCGCGGAAAACAAAGGTAGTGGGTGACGTCCCAGGAGGGCTTAAGGCCGGGGAAGAGGTCCTGAACCACTACTGCGACGTCACAATGCCCGTCGACCAGCGTAGGGCGTGGGCAAAGGGAAGTCTCGGCGGGTGGTGTATGTGTCAAAGATGTCGAGACGAGGCTGCCGCTGCCGAATCGCAGGCATCCTAGACCTTGCTCTCGTCATGGACCGCAAGACCTACCAGAGATTTTACCGTCTGCTTTCTGCCGGCGATTTTTGAACGTCGGAAAACTTGCGATTAGCGAGCGATTTATGGGGGATTAGAGGAAACATATCATAGAGATTATATCATTGGGAGGGGGGGGTCGAAATTCGGGGTCGCGGTGGTATCAAGGACACCAGTCGTCGAGACATTGGCCAGTCCGCACTCGTACAGCATGGTGTAGTTCTCCTTGTGATGCAAGCAAACAATCAAATCCGGCACCAGCGGGCGTCCAGTCCTCTCCAACCGATCAAACCCTGGAAGCGCGATATCCTTCTCGTCCACAATTCTCACCTCCGTGCCGCTGTTAATTACGTC